CTAGTATTTTGCAAATAACTCCATCAAATTTTGTTCATTCTGTTCGAGCAATGTCTCATTCGAAAGAGCATATAAAACTGCATTGATCGAGCTTTTTCATTTTTTAGACGTGAAACTAAATCTTTATAATTCACATGAACCGAAAGGTCATGATTTTGAAAAGTGAAAGTCTCTGCGTAAAACATAATTATCTCGCGGCCGTTAGGCTGCCGCAGTCTAGAGTTGGTGACATCTTGTAGACCTTTCAATTCTCTACAAAATGAGCCGTGAAACTTCGTCCAAAGATCTGGGCCTCATGCAGAAAAATTCGCTACAATCAGCTGTGCCATCGCTACCGCTGCGACAGTTTCTTCCAAAAAATCTATTTGTAATAAACGAAAACGTACTTTTCATAGGAAATCGATAATCCTGATTACAAAGCAAGTCAAGTACGACCGATCTAAACATATACACTTTGGCTTTACCTTTGTATGTGAGGGTTCTTTGTCTCTTACTTCTATGCATGCGTTCAACTTCGGGAACCTTCAGGATGGTTCAATGCAAAAAACTATCGAACCTTAAAGACTCTGCATCTCAGCTAGAACCTTGAAATGTTCCATCAGACACCTTTTTTTTAGAGAGTACCACTATGGTATTCGGATTCAGCATAATTGATAACCTATAACCCACCAGTTTCGGCTGAAAAAGCAACGTGACAGTTCGCGAGGTTCGCACGTAAGTACAAACAGGATTTTTACCCAAAAATCAACAGCCATTGAATCGCGATAAATTACCTGCGGTGTAAACGCTAGAAACTTAACGTATTGAAGCAAAATAGTACTTTTGAAGGCAGTAGATCAGCAAAAACATTGTAAGTAATAATGAATTTTTCGACATGCTGGAGAAAATACTTTGCAAATAACAACAGGCAAAAAGGATTTTATGTGATGTGTTGCTTAAAACCATCTGCCACAGTCATGTACCCATTACGTATGAGAAAGCCATTTTCAGTCAGACAATGTCTCTACGATATCATCAGTACAATACATTCATAAGAATATGGTAGTTTGGTACGTATTGAATTAGAATTATTGAAATAGTATCATGCTAAAGCATGGCATGAATTAAAAATCTATCATCCACGTGATGTTCAACCATTTTTGAAAAAACTATCGACAAAGCTGAAAGAAAACAAATTATTCGTGTCTATTTTCGACCAAATCTTTCATCTTTATACTCTACATGGTTTGGATCATTTGCTCATAACATTTGTGAATTAAAAATTTTGAACTAACGATGATGATTCTCAAGAACAATGAAATTGAAAATTATAACGAATTATACGTTGAACCATTGGCACAAAATCTCGATATAGAGCGCGTATTCAATTACACATTATACAATAACACACATACGATGAACTTTTTGTGAAATTTCTTCATTTTCAAAATCGATCAAGTCAAGAACATCGTGGAAAGTTTTCATTTAATGAATTTATTGAATTAATAAATTAATTTATCATAATTTATCGAAACAACGATGTTCACTTTATTTCACAAATATACAGAAGTATTTTTTCAAACCTTAAAGAAGTTTTGTTAAGCCATTAATTAAAAAAATACCTTTTCAATTGCTTTTCATCTCATATCCAAATTAAACGTACATAATAAACCATATTCTGAAGCTAACAAGTCATTAAAATTTCTTGTCCCGACTTTATAATAAATTGAATACCGCAATTTTCATAAAACTTGATTTCCACAAATTTTAAAATTTGGCGTATAAAACGAACATTATCGTTCTATTTGGCATAGTCGGTTACATAAGTTCAGTGCAATTACAAGATAAGCCGATATCACCAAGCATCAGCATCAGCATCATTATCAAAAAAATATTATACCACGCCTGAACCACTGGAACTCAAGTTAGTTCTTGGCACTATCTTTGAAAACAACATTTTCCACTACTTGCTATCTCTTTTCGCTGATATAACTGAACACATTCCACAATGAGTCCGACACAACGTTTGCCTTACATTAAGACATGTACCAGTACTATTAGATTCCGTTTTACTTTTCGAATGATGTTAATAAATTTCATTGAGCACGAAACTGAAAAACTGATACTGTCGTCAAAGGTAGAAAAAAACGTTAATGAAAAAGCAGAGATTTTTTAGCATAGTGAATCCAGAAACGATCCCAAGATAGCAATTTCGAGTAAAAAGTGATTTATCTAACAAAAAAGGAGTTTGAGACATTTTTTCAAACTCATGAAGGAAGATCCTCAAGTGTCTGGTAGTTTTTCGCTTGAAACCTACGTGATTATAAGTAATTTATTCTCGAATATTGATAGTTCTTTAGGCCCGCTACAAGGTAGATAGATCAAAATCTCTTCACAAATGAATATCATATTCGTAATCAGTGTTGGAAATTACCTATAACCATGTGTATTCCAAGCACTTGGGGACCTTCCTTTCGTCAGCCCCACGGACTAAAACTTTGACAATCTCTGATTTTTCACTCACGCGTTCTCTTTCTCGAACAACAGTAAGGTGCCCGTAATTCGAAGTTTCAATGACTTTTTCTTTTTGATATATTTACACATTGTTGGATGGAGGACATCGAACTGACTAAGAAAAATTAGTCGGATGATATATCTTTCAAAACTTTTTGTTAATTTTCATTTTTTCGTAAAAATCTGAGTAATTTTTCGTCGTGAAAATTCAAAAAAAACAAAAGTTGTCGGATAGGATGACAGAATATGTCATTCAACTGAGTTTTTCATGGCGATTCTGAAAATAGTGTTTTTATTGCATAAACATGAGTTCTGGTGAAGAAAAATGATTACTTGAAATTCGACAGTCTTTCGACACTGTCGATTTTGGAGTAAAAAATTTCGTCACTCAAATTTCGACCGAAAAATTCGACAGTGTCGAAAAGTAGAACTGCTGAACGGCGACAAATTCGTTTTCGCTTCTGCTCTAGAAAAAAAGAATTTTCTCAGTGAGCAAACAAAATTAACAAACAACATGGATACGACATGTTAATGCTGACAGTTTGACAGTTCAAATCATATAAGAGAAATGGCAAAATGTATTCACACAAAAAACTAGATAAGTTTCCAAAATGACTTGCTGTCGTTTTGGAGGGTCTGTTCAACTGAAGCAGGCTAAATTACCTCTTAGGTTTGAGATCAATCAAAGACTTTCTCTATACTCAGTTTTCAATGCTGAATTCAAAAAAAAGTAGTTTTAAAATTTGAAAGTAAAGAGAAACTGCAAAATTTGAATTTTTTGAAACTCTAACGATTTTGCACAAAATCCGTCCCTTTCAAGTTTTTCAAAGCTTTCATCCTGAAGACACTTTTTCGAAACTTAAAACTAACTTTTTCTTACGCAGCTCCATGTCCTCTATTCAACCATCTATAAATATATCAAAAAGAAAAAGACATGAAAACTTCGAATTACGGACACCTTACCAATTTTTTATTTTCACATGCATCAAAACTAATCGAAAAGACCACTATCGTCCAATTTCTACGCATGTTTAGCTACATAGCCGTGAACTGAAATTAACCCGTCATTATAAATGTATAAATCATCTCATTATCGATGGAAAGTAGTATGTTCCATTTAAATCATAAACAATTTCTGTAATGAAGAAATGTTTCGATAAATATATAAATATCTAATTTTATTTTAAATCTAATCAAATTGTACAAGTAACTAATAGGGTTTTATTAATACTTGATCACTATTTGGAGATATAAATAATTCTATATGACACCAGGTTTTTTTCTTGTTAATTCAATATTTAATCCACCTTCTGGTGCATTAACAACATCAGCTGCTGCATAACAAGCTTGTAATGTTAAACGTTCATGTTCACCTAATATAAGATTTAAATTATTATTTATTAAATTCGTCATACTTGATTCAGCATATCGTCCAAATTCATCTCCTTCTTCTCTAACCGTTAATTGTTGAGCTAAATTTGTGAAACCATGTTTTAATGGTGTTCTTAAATTAAAATCTTCTGGTGGTTGTTTATCTAAAAGACAAATATAGACTAATTTTGCTACATCTAATGCGTATAATTCAAGCCATGCCAATGTTTCTCTATTTAAATTTTTGTCAGTTGTATGTGGATCAAATTTATTAGCTAATAAAATTAATTCATTTTGATTTGGACGTGGATCACCAATCATCATATGCCATGCAAGATCAAAATCAGTCATATGTAATGATAATGCTGTATTACGCATAAAATCACGACATGATTTACTACAAATATACATTGAATGAAGTTCATTTTGTTTAAGACTTTTTAAACCTTCACGTACACCAAAATAATTAAGAAAATGTGTACCACTATGAGCGGTAAGACGTTCAACTGTAATTGCACGATTATTAAGTAATTTTGGATTTTCACCTTTTAATTCTTTAACTGTTATATCTTCCGTTTTTGTATTTCCACCACGTTTTGATGGACGTGAACTTAAATTTCCCAAAAGAACAGATATCCATGGTCCATTTGCAAATAATTGATTAAAATTATAATTACCAGAAGTATTTTTTGACTCATCATCTAAATCACCCATATATTCAAAATATGTTTTACGCATAACACCACAAATATCATGAAATTTTTGAATATATTCACGTTCATTATAACCTTCTGGTGCTTTACGTGGTGGAACATAATGTTCACCATTTATTTTTAATTCTGTTTGTGCACGTGCATGAATATTTTGTGCAACTAATGATTCTAATGTTTGTAAAGCAATTGATGATGGTGAAAATAATATTTGCATTTGATGACCTTGTATTGTTAATAATGATGGACCAATTGTTTTGGCACCAAAAAAACGTGCTGAACGACCATTATTATGTGCAACTTCTGTTACACGTCCACCACCACGTTGTAATGCTGCACCACCACCACTAAATCCATTAATTGTTAAATTTTTTAATTCTGGATATTTTATTTTTATTTCATCTAACATGGCATATAATGTACCTAATGCTTTTTCTTGTGATGCTTCAGCACCACGACCATTACGTCTTACCGTATCACTTTTAGCAATCATAGGTATTAATTTTTGACGATAAAATAAATGTTTTCGATAAATTTTATCATCAATTAATTCTCGAATTAAATTTGGTAATTCTTCTAAATCTTTAACCGATTCACTTAATGTAACAATATCAATAATTGTATGTTCTTCAGCAACACAACTACCAGCCGCTTTTAATAATAATAAACAAGCTAAAACATTAACTACAGAATTTGTTTCAGCAATAATAAGTTTATTAAACATATCTTGATTATTTTTAATTAATTTTAATCGACCAAATATACGTGCAGCTGTTTTACTTACAGTATTTAATTGATCATGATCTGTTAATGATAATTTATTAATAATTTTATCATTTGTAAACCAATTAATAATATTTTTTTTTTGTTCAGCTATTGATAATGATGAAAAATTTTCAATTAATCCATTTATTTGAGTTAAATGTGTTATTGTTTCCATAATATCAACAGCATTATGACGTATATCAATTTGAGCATAATAAAAACCAAATGTTTTTATTTTATATATTAAATCATTACTATTAGATAGAGATTTTAAATCATTAATTAATTCATTTACTGTTTGATATTTATCATTTAATAATTTTTCTTCAATAAATTTATTTTCATTTGATAATAATAATTTTTCAACATCCATTAGATATAAACATTTAATATGATGTTTTAATTTTTTAATTGCTTGTTCTAATGCTTCAATATTTGCATTTTCATTTCCATCACCATCACCAGCTGCCCATATAGCGGCTTGTATTAATGGTAAATCAACATCAATAACATTACGATATAATGGAAAATTTTCTAATGTTTGAATTAATTTTTGTCTTACTTTAGGTGTTGTATCATAAATCATATCAAGAATGGCTATTGTTTCATCTATTTCTTCACTAACTGTTTTTTTTCTACCAGCTAATGATAAATCTTTAATTATTGCTAATTGATCTTTATAATCAATTTTATTTTCTAAACATTTATCAAATTCAATTCCACCTTTAATTGTATAATCAATTGATGTTGGATTTGTTGGATGCATTGTTAAACTAAATAGGGCATAAGCATTTTGAATAAAAAATTCTTTTACTTTTTCACATTCAACACCTTCTTGTTCCATTCGAGTAAATACATAGGAAAAATGATCGGCTGTTGCTGTACTAGCTGGATTATCAAGTCGTTCATTATACATTTTAGCATTATCAAATTTTCTTACACGACGTTCTAAATCCATTATTTTTGCATAATATTCTAATAATTTTTCTCGTTCTATACTACCAAATGGTAATTCATTTAAAATTTTATCATAAACACAAATTCGATTTTCACGATTCGAATCAGCACTAACAATAAATATTCTTTTTAAATAATTACCAATTTTTGGATTATCTTTCCATATTTCATCAATAAAATGTCCTCGAACAGCTTGTTGATCAGCAAAAAGTCCTGATAATTGATTTTCCATCATAATGTAAATCTAGAATAAGAAAAATTGTACGCGTATGGTTCTAAAGGATAACTTTGAAGGAATGGAATACGACTTGACCACATAACTCTGCTATTGCAGTGTAGTTCCATCACAGTTTTCTCCATTTTGTTTCTTTCATAATTCTCGAATTAGGACACGTCCAGAGCTCTTCAATGTCTCATATCAAAGACAAAAGCGTGATAAACATTTTGAGACTTTCGTACACTCTACACGCTCATTTGTTTGAGGGGAGGTCCTCCGATTGATATTTTCCACTCCATTTGTAGAGTATATTTTGAAACCTAGGAATCAAAATTTTTTTCATTTCCCCCAAGATGAACTTTTTTGAAAGATATTTTGAAGTTACTTCGTGGTTTATTGCCCAGTTTTTAAAGTTTCTATAGAGTTTTTATTTTTTGGGATGGAACGTTAATCAAGCGGTCGGGCACATCAAGACGTACTCAGCGAAAAACGTTTCATTGTTTTCTGACATAGTTTGACTGAGATATTTGAATTCCCATTCCTCTTTGGAGCAAAAAGTGTTTTGCTTAAAAATCTTGAGCACGATTTCGCTTCAGGGAAGCCTTTTGGAACAATTGTTTCGTTACAAATGTTGTTCAAAATCAAATTATACATCGGATGAGCGGAGGAAAGTTTGGGAAAACTCGACTTTTAAATCTAATTCTGAACAACATTTGTAAGCGACTGGTGCAAGAATCACTAGCGCTCCATACCAAAGAACAAAAATTCTATAGAAATTTTAAAAAATGGGCAGAAAACCACTAAGTAACTTCAAAATATTTTTCTCAGAAAGCATCAACTCCAGGAAATAAAAAGAATTTTGATTCCTTGGTTTCGGAGTATGTTCTACAGACTGAGCCAAAAATCTGGATGGGAGGACCTCCACTTAACAGCTATATGAAAAATACTAACTGTTAGTTTTTCAGTTAAGTCTTGAAAAGTAACAGAGTGCATTTCTGCTATATTTTCTACACAAAAGAACGCGTAGAGTGTGCCAAAGTGTCAAAAATCATTAGCACCCTTTCCTCTTTGATTTGCGATGTTGGAGAGCTCTGAACGTGTTTTATTTCGAGAACTATGGAAGAACGAAATTGGAAAACACGTGAAGGAATTTCACTGCGGTAGCAGAGTTACGTGCCCAAATCAAATGGTTTTGTAATCTATTTTTTCTATAATAAATTAAGGGCATCCCTCCTCTATCAGAGATCTATTGTCATTCTACAACATTCAACCCCGATAAAATTTTCATTCAGTTTGTAACTCATCCTAGCAGGATGACAGAAAAGGTTCGAGTTCAAAGAATTATTCTAAAAATAAGTGCCACGAAGTAGATGCTCATCTGACAAAGATTTCTACACCATTTTAGATGATACAAAACTCAGGTTAGTCTCAAAATGTAGCTAGAACTTAACATAGTTTGATTTCTCAAATATCGCCTTCTTTAGCGTTTCTAAAACTTTTAGAACAAAAGTTAGAAAAAGAGTCAACTAACTATTAAGAAACGTCATTTTTTTTGAACCAGATTGAAATCACAAAAACGGTTTTGTTAAGGCTTGGGTTAATTCTTGGCTACATTTTGATATTACCCAAGCTTTCTATCATCTGACGAAAAAATCGCCGTACACTTCTTAGCGCACTTACTAGAATTCTCTCCGCTCTACTCAGCTACATTATTATCTTTCCTTCCAATTTCTGTTTTTTGACAAATTTACCATGAGTATCGTCTAGCTGCATGATGATCTTATATAAATATCAAAGACTAAGATTGTCTTATAGAGAGCAAACTAGAAAACACCAGAAATATCCTGTGGGTCCAGTAACCGTGTTTTCTGTTTCTCCTGTAACTTTATTTTAACACGCGCAAATAAAGCGAAACGTTTAGTTCAGTGGTTAGTTCGACATACGATGAATTTAATGCAGTACATATAAGATGTTTAGGCCAGCCAGAAAAAAACTGCAACAATTAAAGACTAGCACAGTTAAAAAACTACAGTTTAACTGTAGTAGTTTTTGACACGATCGTCGATGAGAAATCTAGAGAAAAAGTTTTGCAGTTGCTTTTCATGATCTATCATTTAAAGTACTACGCTGATCTGATTGGTAGAAACAAAATAATGAGAAGATTAACTACGAAAATCTAATAAAAAAACATTTAGCCACCGTCGCCCAACGAGAAAACGTTTCAGCGACTAGATGCAGAGCACATAATCGCCTAATGTTTCTGAAAGAGCCGTAACCAGAATTTTGATAACGGGTGGGCATCTAGAAAAAGCATTCCATCTTTGCTAGTCTGACTTTCCTGCAAGAGATTTCCATTCAGGAAGGTAGTACCTAGGAATAAAACGCTAGCAGAGAAAGCCATGAACAGAATCTGCCAGAAAAATTCTTTACTTAACTTCATAAATTCAAATTCAAAAAGAATCAAACAAGCGGTTTCGACGTGTATCACACATGATCTTCATGCGAAATTGACTAAATACGTACAGTCACTCTAACTGTCAGTATTTCTTTTTTCTTCTCATTCTTTCTTTTTCTGTGGATCTGATAGTGTACATGAACAAAAGAGAACGAGGATCAAGAAAAAGAGAAAGAATGAGAAGAAAAACGAAATACTGACAGTTAGAGTGACTGTACATATTTAGTCAATTTCGCATGAAGATCATGTGTGATACACGTCGAAACCGCTTGTTTGATTCTTTTTGAATTTCAATTTATGAAGCTAAGTAAAGAAAAGTATTTTTCTGGCAGATTAAATGATGACTGGCAGAACACTATAACACCACTTGCACTACTGTAATGGCATACCAAGCCGTGTGCACGTGCCCACCCCATGGTTTCTTAGAACACTGATTTACGGATATTCAAGAAGTGATAGTATATGAGTATGGAAAAGCCATGAAACGTGTATGCGAATATTATATTTAAAATTCAGCAAAACCTTTTGTTCGACTGATGCTAAAAATCGAAAGTCTCCAGGTGAGAGTAATTTTTCACCATCTAGAAGAATAGAGTAAACACTTCTCTTCAGAATAAAGCTTTACATGATCGGACGTTGACTAATAAGATCAATTGAAGACAACAGTGTCATGTCGATACATTGTCGCTGAAAAAGCTCGTGGTTTTAACGAAACACAGACCGATAAATTAAACTATATTTTTAAATTATTATAAACTTACGTTTACTTAAATTATTACAAAAATATCGTACAGTTTATCCTTTTTTAAATTTTAAAATCAACTAACTAATTACTTATTAATTCATTCTTAGTAACATTTTTACGCGCTTAGACTCGGCAATTATTTGTGCAGTATTAACTAAAAAAGTTGTAGATTTAATGATAGTTCTTGAAAGTTCTTATATAATATTTCTCCCCTACTAACTAAAAGCTCGACGTCGGTTGTTATTTTTACACTTGTCCTCGCGCATGTTTGTTGAACCGCCTCCATAGTTGTTGCGGATCTGTATCAGATGTTAAAATGAAATTATGATTACGATTAAAATAAATTATGATTATTAATTATAAATTATGATTAAATTCTTTTAATCTGTTATCGTGAACTAAATCCGTTTTCATATTCCCAAACGGATCGATCAAGCGATAAGTGTTTATTCGGCATATTTTGTTTATTTGATACAGTCCGAAGGATTTTGCCTGAAATTTTCCATGATTCTGGTTTTCTCAAGCACCCATTGGTGAAGATGTAATTGACGTGGAGTGATGTTTGACTTGTGGAGTGATGTTTTATCATTCTTTGGCTTGCACTGTCGATTTCTTACATCTGACTTGATCTGCTGCTCATCTTTCCCCAAGTAACTCTAACTGTCGTCCTTCAAATTCTGATAAATCATCATTTTCTTCTTGAAAAACATATGATAGATGAACATTACCAGAAATGACAGGATGGACACCATACCATGTAGAATGGCGTTTCTTTAATAAGTGAATGAGTTCTAATTCTACAAGCAAACAAGACTTGTGAAACAAATCATCTTATTTGTGTATAGATCCCTGCACATCTTTCGTTAACATCGAAATGAATAAACCTTTAAATCTTTCGATCATTCCATTTGTTCTTGGATGAAAAGCAGAGATGTGGAGATGATGTATGTTTTGCAGTGCAAGATATTGTTTTAACATCTCGCACCTAAATGCTTTTTCTCGATCTGATAAAATTTTCTTCGGACATCATTAATATTTCTTCATAGATAAATTTCGCCACGTTCTCAGAGGTTGTTAACTGTTTTGGCTTCATTAAATGTTGAAGCGAACCATGATCGGTTCGAACCGTGAAATTTACGCCTTCTAAATAACATTGTCATTGACGAATGGCATAGTCAATTACCAATAATTCGGATGATAATGTCGTATCATATGGTCGTACAGTTTGCGAATTTGTTAGCTTTTTCTTCAGCGTTCCAAATGCACACTGTTGTTGTAGTGTCCTTCAAACGGTGTTCCATGACGTTCATCAAGTTGAAAGTGCGCTTTTCGGTGATTCAAATAGTGATTTATATACTTTGGACCACGCTCTCTTCAATGACGAAAAAACTTTTTTCGTAGGGTATACTTATGTTGGGAAAATCATATAGACAAAAATTACGCTAAAAAAAGAGACACTGTCGGAAAACCGAATTATACGCAAAAGTAAGGTAAGCGATCAAACAAGCAAATATATGTTCTTAACCTTTGTCAAGCCTTCTATCGATTGATAAAAAAAATTTTTAGTTTAGGTGTTTTCAAAATGGAAAAAAGTTATTGTACATTTTATTAGCGAGTTTCCAAAGAGATGCATTCAGTAAAGTACATGCGCGAAGAAAAGCGAAACTCCAATTTAGATGAACCTTCAGGAAATGTTGAGCTATATAGGACACCTGCACACGATTAGCGAAAAGTAGCGAAAAGTTTCCTGCCCTAAGTTGTAGGTTTTCCAAAAACCACTAGCTTTTAAAGGTATTTTCCATTTTTCTCGGTTCAGAA